ACAAACAAGAACAGTAGAACAAGTAAAGACATTAGTGGAATGGTGTGATCAGTTTGACCTGCAGAAATATAAGCGTATAGTAGCATGACTAAGGGATACTAGGAAACCCAAGCTCATCCATCCATCCATCCATCCATCCATCCATCCTCTTCCGCTTATCCGGGGTCAGGTCATGGGGGCAGCAGCCTAAGCAGACAGACCCAGACTTCCCTCTCTCCAGCCACTTGGATCAGCTCCTCTGGAGGGAATCCCAAGGCGTTCCCAGGCCAACCAAAAAACATAGTCCCTCCAGCGTGTCCTGGGTCTTCCTCTGGGTCTCCTCCCAGTGGGATGTGCCCGGGACACCTCACCACAGAGGCGTCCAGGAGGCATCTTAACCAGATGTCCGAGGACCTCATCATCCGCARCAAGCAGAGGCGCGATCCTAAAGCCACCAAAAAGGATCCCCTCAACACTTTGGCTGCGCMTAGAAATTCTGTCCATAAAAGTTAMRAACAGAATCTGYGACAAAGGGCRACCTTKGTAACCCAAGCCAACCCTAACTATAGAATTGATCAAAAAGGGAAAGTCTCAAATTGTAAAAGAAGACAGATCATCAGCCTCATGGACAGAAGGGCCTGATAACTGAAAGCTCTGCCTCCCWTTCAACTTCTAGAAACTCTAGGAACCACAAGTAAACCTGCAGTCTGTGAGCAAAATGCTSTGTTTGTWAAATATGGAACATACCATCTTTAATATAAAATGGAGCTTGGTTGTTGAGAGCTTTGTGTGTCAGAAGTAAGATTTTAAATTCTAAATTCCTTTAATGATATCCAGAAGCTCAGAGAGTGAATGGATGCAACACAGTGCATGGTAGTCATAACCTTGATCTTTTTTGCTTACGGTCTAAAATTTTACTTGATGATATTATATAAAATTTAAAAAGTGTTGCTCTCGGAAATACTTTTTTTTAACTACCATAGTTAGGAAAGTTTTRTAGGATTCATCATTTGCGTCTTTGCTGCTTTAAAAAAAACCTTTGATAAAAATGCAACCTTTAATACATCTGTGCCATGTTTCTATTTTAGAAGAGTTAAAACCACAATCAAAATGTGACAGACCWGCTTTCGATTGTTAGTTACTTAGCTGTGATGGGACACCCACTATAAGGGAGACTCTTAGCATTATGTTTTATTCCTCTCCTTTTGTAATTTTCTCATCCTCCTAATYAGCCTTTTTACTGAACATAACTTCTGTTTTTGAATATTTTTCATTCCAATCCTACTGACTGTGCTTTATAATTRGAGTCTGTATATCTTAAGTAACTCCTCTGTGTTTTGAGCACAGAACATCCTGCTTTAAATTCTTTGTTTAGCATGAACTGAAAAAAAAGAGGGTAAAAGATGGAGACTTGATGATGAGCTGCTGTAGGAAGAAAAAAAATCATTAAATTGATATATTAGGGGCCTAAATAGAAATGCCTCCTACAAATGGGAATTGATGAACTCTTTGCTTAGCGTGTGGATCCTGGCACGATTTATACTCCCCTTGCACTGTTCTCCTGYACAGCATGGCCTGGTGCAGCAAGAGTAAGGGACAGGGAAAATCAGAGGAAGAGGAAAAGACTGGTGGATTAAAGCTAAGAAATCAGTTGAAGTAAATAGGAAAAGGAGAAAAGAGATAAGACTGTAAACACAAAAGGAAGATACCTTGGAGGGGCTGTTCACCTTTTGAGATAAGTTGCATCAAGTTGCCACCCTATTTTTTTAAGGATATTTATTAAAAAGTGAAGATATTTTTTTTTGCCAATGTGTTTGCACACGTGTTTGTCTATCTTTTAGTAAAATATCCCCATGACTTACAGGACAAATCGTAATTAAACTTTCATGAAGTCATCATTGGGTTGTTTTAGGAGGCTCAAATACAAACAAAAACAGTATTTTTGTCCTTATACTAGGCAAGAGTTCACTACAACCTAAACTGGTTATGTTAGTAATTTCTTTTTTTAATCACTTCAGTAGAAAAAAAGAACTTAATATTAGTTTCTTAATTTCTTCATCATCAGTGATTTTTTTAAGTAAAGAGAAAATAGAAAAAGAGGGAAAAACAAAGAGAAAATGTAACTAGAAATTAGTGTTAGTAATTTCTTCCGWAGAAGCATTTTAAAACTATCTTGATTTTTCTTTCTGCAGGGTTCCAGAGTTTGTGGGGGACAAGCGTTTTGGAAACTGGCTAAGAGACGCACGAGACTGGGCGATTTCCAGAAATCGATACTGGGGCACACCAATCCCTCTTTGGGTCAGCGATGACTATGAGGAGGTCAGAAACTGAAACACACACACAAAAAATAAAAATTACTGTCGTGCATTAGTTCTCTGTAGGAACCACACATTTTGTCTGTGTCATGACCAAAGGCCAAGATTCTTTTTATGTGTCTTGTTCGCAGCACTTGCAGCTCCGTCAGAGCTAAGCATGAGAGGACATTGTTGAAAAGTTGAACTCTCTGCTGTTTACACTTTTTTATTAATCATCAAAATGGGTTTTGTGAGAAAATTGTCTTTTGACTTTTCAAAAAGATTAGTCTGTTGCATGAGTAAAAAAAAATCTTGTTCTTTTCATAAATTTGCAGTGTGAAATTTTATCTTGCCGACCCCATTTTGACACTTCCATAATTTAGCATATCTTACCCACTGCTTGTGTGTGTGGAGGCTTGTGGAGGAGAGTTTCTGCTATTGCAGAGTAAGGTGACCACGATGTCAAAGCAAAGCGTGTAGTGCAACTCTGTTCTGAAATCAGAATCAACTCCCTTCAGGCACCGTTACAGACTGCCTCCATAAACTCCACACATGAATGATTCATTAATGTAAACAGCAAATAAACACGATTTAAWATGTTGTTTGGTTTCAGTTCAGTTAAAGCAACTTCAAAGGTGTTCAAGACAAACAGTTACTGAGGTTTAACGGCAAAAAGAGAAAATTAGGAGAGCAAGAGGAGATGGGATTMATTACTTTTGAAAGTGGGGAAAAAATACACGAGCTTTTGCAAAGCATGCCAAACTGTAAATATTCGTTTTATGATGAATATCTGTTGCCAGACTTGGCTGACTGTATGAAGTAGACTGAACTGAATAGAGATGTCACAATTGGGTTATTTGAGCGTTTGAAAAATGAAGCGTTGGTCCCCTGGCTGAAAGAGGGACGGCGAACGACCTGCTTGCTGGAAATAGCATTATGAGTGTTTCCAGAGCACTTGCACTCCCTGGTGTCTCCTTCACACACCCCTAAGTAGCAAACTGTCTAAAGCTGTAAGCATCTGCATGTCTGTGTTTCTTTGAGTGTGATTGTATGCTTCCTTGTCTCTTATTTGCTCACTTTCCCTCTGTGCTGGTTGCTTTATTTCATACTATTTTATTTTTAATAATCTTTCCTTATATGTTGTGGTGCGCCGGGCTGTATCTGGGCCACTTTACCTGGTGCTATGGTAAAACTAGAGCAGAGCCTACAGGTTATCTCTCTGAGGAGGGCAGATAACACACTTTATCATACTTTGTAAGGTGAAGTTACTCTGGAAGTGTGTTAAAGACGGCCTACTTTTGGCTTCTGATGTAAACGTCTAAATGCAATAAACTAGTAATAGAGTCTAAAACCAGGCACTGTTGATTATTAGATTATTGCCTAGTAATTTTCTGTTATTAGACAAATTATTCTAGTTTAAATAAAATAAACCACGTAAATGAGGAAGCCTTTAAGACCTCACACTGTAATCATAGCGGGTTTATCCTGCATGGTAAATGGACAGTAATTATATATCGCCTTTATATCCAACCAGGATATGCGAAGCGCTATACAACATCTGTGCCCTCATTTACTCATCCACACACACTCATGCAACAATTTATAACTGAATAGACTGAATTATTTACCAACAAACAAAAAATATTTGTCCAACTATCTCTTTAGAAAGACCGACAAAAGCTATTAATTGTTGCTGAACTGTTAATGAGGTTAATAGTGATTTAATTTTTCCCTTCCTTTCCTTTATTTAACCAAATTAATTGTGGGAAAACATACAATTCTGGACCTATTCAAGTAATTTTAAATTATTTTAGAATTTAGTAAAATTTTAATAATAATATAGCCATTTCTAACCGTGTGTATTTTTCTTGTGTGCATTTTCAGGTGGTTTGTATCGGCTCCATTGCTGAGCTGGAGGAACTAACTGGAGTCAAAATTACAGATCTGCATCGGGAAAGGTGAGTCATGGWTTAAATAAGTGTTTGAACATCTGTCAGTGGGATTTCTTAATTTCCCCAATCTATATGTGCASTGGAGTCTACGCCTCGTGATATTTTTTTTGCATTTACACTTTGTGACTGACTTTTGTGAAGGGCTACAACATTTAGGGATGGAAATGATTTTAACAACCTTTAAAATAAATAAGTAAAAACAAACAGAAAATATAACTTATTGCTTGTTTAGTGTTTCAGTCTGCAAGTGTTTTGAAATAAGAAAATGTAAAACAGGAGAAAAGTAAGTGCATAATGTAGGGTTTGAAGCTCTTTTATTAATTTTATTTTAAAACAGTGTTATAAGCAATTCCTAATTGTCTTGCATGCAAATGAGTAACAGTCACCCATTAGTGTGGTGCATTTCGTAATAACTGGTTTAAGTTGCATAAAAAGCTGAGGATTTAGGCTCCTTCCTCTAAAGTGGAGCTTAATTATGCCTTAATGACTTTCTCCCTAATATACCCATAAGGGCTCTCCCTGTGATTTAGTATTTTGCTTTGTTAAAGTTAGACAGAAGCTAAAATACTGCATCCATGTTGCAACTAGAGAAGAGTTTTGTTAGTTGATGAATACTGTATGTTTTTGCAACCACCCGCTTTAGAGAGGCCCAGTCATGCCAGAAAGYAGCACAACCAAGTTAATCCAAGAGCCTTTTCTGAAAACGTGGTGCCAGAGACGTATTAAAACTGCCTAAACATCAGGAGGTCTTGTGGGTGAAGTGCTGTAGTTGCAGGTGTAGCCCAGAACCAGCTGGAAACCGTTGTGCTTTTTGGTATCAGAACAATTTGCTGCTTTTCAGCTGCATGAGACTTGACCATTATTCACCAAAGGTTGCCTTCACATAAAAGCTCAGAATGATTCCACATTCAGGTGTTTGTCTAGAACAGAACTCACGCGTTTGATCTCTCCAAAGAGCTCAGAGAAACTGGAGAGTAAATTATTTACTAAAGGTGTAAATGGATCATTTACGCTGGGCAAACTGTCAGCCACATTAGAACACGTGAAGTGGTCTGCTATTACAGGTAATAGCTTTTACCTTTAATGGCAGACCACTTCACATTTTATGATGTTTAATAGCGGACCACCCAGCTTAGCAAAACACTTTAAATCTGCAAAAATGACATACAGGTTTAGTCAAAATGCACTTTTCATTCTGCTCCTCTTTTGTATTTTATTTTTACAAAGCAGTCTCATTTTTGTTACCCAAAATCATGTTTCCAAAGAGAAGCTGCTTCAGTGTTTATCTGTAGGTGTTTTTTTTTTTTTTGTAATTAGTTTTTCCCCCCAAGTAGCGTACAAAAGGCACAACATGACAGTTTACTGTTAAAAGCTGATTCCTTTTTCAGAACATGAATCAGTTATTATAGTATCATTGGCACGGTATCTAAAATTTTTTGGATAAAACTCAAACTGTTTGCACAATTTCAACAGCGTTCCCCTTTTCTCATTTCTCTGTCCAGCATTGACAGTCTGACAGTCCCATCACGACGTGGTAAAGGTGTGCTGCGGAGGGTTCCGGAGGTGTTTGACTGCTGGTTTGAGAGCGGCAGCATGCCTTACGCCCAGGTTCACTACCCATTCGAAAACAAGAAGGAGTTTGAGGACTCCTTCCCTGCAGACTTCATCGCTGAAGGCATTGATCAGACCAGAGGATGGTAAACTGAGCTTCATTTGGCTCATAAGAGTTGTGGAGAGGGATAGATGTGGACTGATGATGATGAGAGAAGAGCTGGACTTAGTAAATGAATGGACAGAGAGGAAGCTGAGAATGAACTCTTTAAACCTTTCCTGACTCYGTCCCTTGTTTCTTTAGGTTCTACACCCTTCTGGTCCTCTCCACAGCACTGTTTGGAAAACCACCATTCAAGAATGTGATTGTTAACGGACTGGTGCTCGCCAGGTCAGGCCACCGATTACAGAAAACATTTTAATCACTCTCTTTGATTTGAAAATGGAAATCACTCTTGTGTAAAGATGTGTATTTATTTTCTGTCAAATCAAAACATTCAGTAATCACAAGTAGTTCAAAATGAATTTTAAATGGTTTGTGTGATTTTTAGTGCATGACTTCCCTTAGCAAAAAGTTGTAAATGCAAGTATCCTTTAAGTATACTAATTATAAACTACAATAAATACATAAATAAATAAATAAAAGTATACTTCCATTTTAATTTTTATGTACTTAGCCAAGTTTACCTTACACTATACTTTTCTTGTACAAAAAGTTCAAATATATTTAGTCTTAAATGTTTAAACTTTTGGCCACAATAGACTTCAGTAGTACATTGAAAGTACATTTTCACACAGACTGGTTTATTTGTAGTATATTTCATGATTAAACTAAAAATGTGCTTAGATTACTTTCAGTATTCTTCTGAGTATACTTTCATAAGCTTATTGTGGGCCAATTTAGTCCTAAAAGTATACTTGTTAGTAAACTGCTAGTATRCTTTTATCAGTGTACACRGTAAATAAAAGTACACTTAGGGAACTGCACTTTTATATATTTTAGTATACTTAATGACATGTACTTAAAGTATACTTCTTTTTGGTAAGTTTATAAACTTAAAAAAACATAACTATACTTAAAGTATACATTTTATGAACTTTTTAAAAGTCACAATTTAGTACGAACAAGTAAATCAATATACTTTCTATTACACTACATGTACATTGGTGCCTAGTATACTTGATATACTTAAACTTACACTCAAGTATACTTATTAAAAAGAATTTCAAGTATACTACTTTAGCTAAGGGTTCATAAGTCAGAATGTTCAAAGTGATATTTTTGACTGTTATATAAAAGTATACATTTTACATTTAACTGAAATGTTAAACATAAGAACTTTAATTTCATAGCAAAATGGTTTGCTAGCTTTATGGTTATGATTAGTGTTATAAAGAGAATTTTTATTATTGAATGTGTGCCGCCTTAAAGAGATGCTCCACAACATCGCTGCTTGTTCTCAGTTCTGAGATCTTACTGTTGTTTTGAGCTCAAAGGCCTGCTGACCTGGAAGGACTTGACTAATTTGATTACCAAGTGCATGGTTTCCAACATGCTCCTCTGTGCGTGCATGCACGCATGTGGATGTCTAATAATGCCTTTGTTCGACTTATCCCTGCAGCGATGGGCAGAAGATGAGCAAGCGTAAGAAGAACTACCCAGACCCACAACTGATTGTGCAAAACTATGGAGCCGATGCCCTCAGGTCAGCTCTGTGCTTGAATGGGAGAGTTCTTGTGTCCCTGAAGTGTTAATGCTTGCATGCAAGTTGGAGCGTCGTTTGCTACCTCAGGTCCTTTGCAAGCAAGCTTAAAAATCTTGAATGACTATAAACCCTCAACATTTTACATTATCATGTCTACATAGAGTATGTACACAATCATGCACGATACATGCAATTTTAATCATTTTGTCCCCCTTAATACATTTTCTCATTTGCCCTGAGCAACCAGAGTGCTATGGACATATGGCCTTTATTAATAAAACACTTTGCAGTTACACCATATGCTAGCATATACACTGAAGAAGAGCACACTTATAAACTGAAGAGAAGAAGATATCAATTAGTTTTCATTCCAGGCCCTATTTCAATTAGTTTCTTTAAGCAAAATCTCTTAAAGTTCACCTAATATGATGAGTTGAGCAGCAACAAAACCTGTTCTGAAGAAAAGGTTTACACTGCTCAATTTTTCTGTGAATATGTTCCAAACCTGGAGAAGACGCAACAGTATATTTACAATATATTTATTCTAACATTCCTAGTGTATAATTCATTAATAAAATTAATACCTGATAGTTATTTGTTCTGTTTTAAATGCCTCTCAGATCTGTAGCTATTTAATACATCCCTTCATTTAAAATGGAATTTCTATTTTCCAATTAATTAGTTGTTGTTTACACATTCCTATTTCATCATCAGTCCTTGATAAAGATATTCTAAACAATTTTATAYATGTAAAACATCACCAGTTTACCTAAAAGGCTAAAAATAACATTGACTTTATTTCATCAGTATGTGAGCTGACACAAAATCTTTTCGCAACAGAAAAGAGTCACTTTGTTCTTACACTTATACAGACAACCTCAGTGTTAATATTGTGCCCCCAAAACATTTTTGAACATGGCCTGCTGTGTAAACCCCTTTACTGAAACTTTGAAATTGATGAAGCGCCTCTACAAGTTCAATCTGTTTACCATTTTAAACAAACAGGAGATGAACGTTTAGGTGAGACAACACGTCTGCACTTTTCTGTTTTCATCTGTGTGTGTCCTCGCAATGAAAATCACCAAACACACCAAGTGCTCATCAACATTTCATTCGATCAGAAATCATTTATGTTCACCTTGGATTTTTTTTGCCATTCCCGCTATTCCAGGGTACTCTTGACAATGAAATAAAAAAAATCTCAGTAAGGTTTTTTCCTGGTTAAATAAACTGAATCTAAACTCACAGAACCCCCCCGCCCCCTCTCTCTCTCTGTAGACTGTACCTCATTAACTCACCTGTTGTGCGAGCAGAGAATCTGCGATTCAAAGAGGAGGGTGTGAGAGACGTGTTGAAGGATGTTTTCTTGCCGTGGTATAATGCCTACCGCTTTTTGGTGCAGAACGTACAGAGACTACAAAAGGTACATTTGTCAAAATTAATTCCTTTTGAACTGAAAATGTAATTAAACCTGGCTGTAATACCTCATCAGATAAAACTATTCATGTTCAGAGACTTCTTTTAAAAACCAACAACTTGGACAGAAAGCATATGAAATAGTTGTGAACAATGCATTTGTAGTAGAAGGCTTTATTAAACATCGTAGTCAAAGGTGTAGACATGTTTGCTGTTTTGGAGACTTTTTTTTACATCAATCAGAAATTGATGTTGCTTTTTATGTATGTTTGTGTTGTGACATTCGTTTGTCCTTTTTGTAACGATTTCTCAGGAGGACAACATTCAGTTCCTGTACAATGAAAACACAACAAAACAGAGTGACAACATCATGGACAAGTGGATCCAGTCCTTCACACAGTCCCTCATTCATTTCTTCAGGGATGAGATGGGTGGTGAGTTGCTTCATACTGAATTAGAATCACTTTTAGGATTTATCTTCACTGCTTTACACTAATCTTAACCAGCTGCCATTTTTTTATTAAAGTAGATATTAGTTTTGTTTTTATTTAATAAATATTTGTCCTAATCTGCAGGCAGTTTGCGTTGTTTCTTTGGAGTGTGCTTAAAACAGTTGGTTCTGGTTACAGGTTACCGCTTGTACACTGTGGTGCCTCGCCTGGTCAAGTTCGTGGACATGCTCACCAACTGGTACGTCAGGACCAACAGACGCCGCTTGAAGGTGAGATTATGGTTCAAAAAGATTTTTATCACTATTTCTGTTGCTGCGGGGCATAAAGCTAACATGTACTGAAGGTCAAACAGTCTATAATAACATTTTTATCCTCGCAGGAAGGCAAATAGAAACTTCTGTAAAATTATTCATTATTATGAAACATTTACAGCAGTAAATTTGTGGCTGTTCTGTTTTCATTTGGTTAAATTGGATCTTGTGCAAATATCTGCAAAGTAATCTCAATATTTTTACTTCTCCAAAGTGAAAGAACTTGTGGATGTATTCGTGAACTTTTCAGGGAGAGAGTGGCACTGAGGACTGCCTGTGGGCGCTGGAAACCCTCTTCGGTGTTCTGTTTTCCATGTGCAGGCTGATGGTGAGTCATTTGGTTTTTGCACAAAAAAAGACAGGCGATTGCAAGAGGGGGGACTCTACTCATTTTTCTTTTGTGTGTGCAAGAAAATAAAGCAAAGACTGGTATGGAAGTAGTRTGCGAGTGTGGTGTTATGCTTGTGAATTATGCATGAGATGTGGGAGCTTTTATTTATAACACATGATTGAAGGTGTTTGCATGTGTGCCGCGAGGCACGCTAAGAGGCAGTTAGCATAACCCATTTCAATACAGATCAGCTGTGAGCTATCAAATTAATTAGCTGTGGTAAAATTGGAGAAAATTTCATTAGAGAAATGCTTGCAGTTTTTCAGTTCTGTTGAAAACATTTGCACCCAGTGATTGTAAAAAAAAAAATCTCCAGACTTTCAGATCTTTTATTTTAAATAATGCAAATTAACCGTGCAGAGCAGACAGTTTAATAATCTTTTCCCCCTTTCTTCCCCTCTCTCACGTCTGCTTGCTGTTTCTCCAGGCTCCTTTCACACCCTTCATTACAGAAATGATGTACCAAAATCTGCGTCACCTCATTGACCCTGCATCTATTGAAGAAAAGGACACCAACAGCATCCACTACCTCATGCTGCCTCAAGTCAGGTTGGAACAAAAAACATTCAGAAATGTATCAAACAGAAGTTTAACATGCATAGATCTTTTTTATAAACCTTTTAAAATTATTTTGGTCAGCTCTAAACTAAAAAAAATACTATTAGGTATGAGTTTGTTTTTGTATCTCAAATATGGAGAAAATAAAACAAGAAAATGTGCAGATGCAGGCATGCACAATCAATCTGCACATGGA